TTTCATTCCATTATGATGTGATAGAATGTAAGGTATTATTTCTAGTTTTTGTATTTGCTAAGAGTTGCTTTTTGACTTACTATAAAATGGTCTATTTTTGAGAAGGATCCACATGCTATTGAGAAGAAAGTGTATTCAGTCATTGATGTATTAAATATTCTATATATGTCTATTACATCTAAATTATTAATTGTATTTTTCATTTCTGTAACTTCTTTATTTTTTACTTCTTTATTTTTCCCTTTGGAGGGAGGTGTGTTGAAATCATCCAGAATTATTGTATTGTGATCTTTTGATTCTTGAGATTGTGAAAGGTTTGATGCACATAGATGCTCCATTGATATAAGGAGTGTGTTTATGTCTTATTGATGTATATTTCCCTTGAGCAGTATGAAATGTCCTTCTTTGTCCCTTCCGGTTAATTTTGACTTGAAGTCCACTATGGGGATAGAAACGCCTGGTTGTTTACAAGATCCATGTAAGTGATATGTTTTTCCCCATCCTTTCATCTTCAGTCTGTTCATGTCTTTATCTTTGAGGTGTGTATCTTGGAGATGCATATTGTTGGGTCTGTTTTTTTATTCCAGTCTGCCAGTCTGTGTGTTTTGAATGATGAATTTAGGCCATTTACATTCATTGTTATTGAGAAATGTATTTTGTTCCCTGGCATTTAGATTTATTTCTGGTTTTTAATTTGAATTAGTTTCTCTTTCGATTGACTATTCTTCTAGTACAATTCCCTGCTTTGCTGGTTTTCATTTTTATTTTTCATTTCGTTTTCGTGAAATATTTTGGTTGGTATGCTTCATAGAGCAGAGTTTCTATTTCTGAGTTCTTTTAACTTCAATTTTTTATAGGGTTTTATTTTATCATCATCTCTGCAGCTTAGTTTTTCAGGGTATAATGTTCTTGGTTTTACATCCATTTTCTTTCAGAGCTTGGTATGTATTATTATAATAATACCTCCTATCTTTAAGGGTCTGGGTTTGAAAAAATCAGATGCGATCCAAATTGGTTTCCCTTTAAATGTGACCTGTTGGGGCTGGGGATGTGGCTCAAGTGGTAGCGCGCTCGCCTGGCATGCGTGCGGCCCGGGTTCGATCCTCAGCACCACATACCAACAAAGATGTTGTGTCTGCCAAGAACTAAAAAAAAAAAAAAAAAAAAAAAAAAAAAAAAAAAAAAGAAGTGCTGTTGATTTCTGTATAAGGAAGGTGCTTCATATATTTAAAAAAAATAAAAATTAAAAAATAAATGTGACCTGTTGTTTTTTTCCTCTGAGAGCCTTTAGAATTCTATCCTTATTCTGTGTTAGTCATCTTCATAATAATGTGCTTTGGTGTAGGGTCTGTTGTAATTTTGAACATTTGGCATCCTGTATGCCTCCTGCATTTGATTTTTCATTTTATTCTTTAGGTTTGGGAAATTTCCTGATATTGTTTTGTTGAAAAATTTGTTCATTTCTTTTGTTTGTATCTCTGAGCCTTTATCTATCCCAATAAATCTTAAATTTGGTCTTTTTATGTTCTATAGTTCTTGGAAGTTCTCTTCATTGCCTCTTAACATCTTTTCTCCATGCTCAACTTTATTTTCAAGATTATATGTTTTATTTTCATTGCTTGAAACTGTGTTCCAAGTGGTCCATTCTGCTGGTGATATTTATCAATGAATTTTTTTTAATCAATGAATTTTTGATTTGGTTTATTGATTCCTTCATTTCAAAGATTTCTGATTGTTTTTTTTCCTCCTAGAAACTCCGTTTCTTTTTTTGAAGTGATCTTTGCTTCCAGTATTTTGTTTCTTACATCATCCTTTACCTCAGATTAATTTAAATATGATCATTCTAAAATTCTCTGACATTTCTTCCACTGTGGTGTCAGTGGATTCTGTTATCGAAATATTTTCTTTTATTAGAATTTGTTCCCTTGCTTTTTCATGTCATTTTATATTCTGTGGACTTATAGTATCCAATACCTCACAGTTTACAACAACCAATGCAAACAGTTTACAGAATTAAACCAAATAGCTCTTGATATGAAATCTACAGTGTTGATTGTCAGATCAACCAGAAATAATATGATCAGTTATTGTCTATAATGAAAACAGTAAGTTTCAAAATGGTTTATAATTTCACATAGTGAATAGGGATAAAACAGAAGTGATGTAGGATGTGATGAGTATGAGGGAGGAGGAGAGAAAATAGAAGTAAAAAATTGAAGAAAGGGCTGGGATTGTGGCTTAGTGGTAGAACGCTTGCCTAGCATGTGTGAGGCACTGGGTTTGATTCTTAGCACCTCATATAAATAAGTAGATAAAATAAAGAGCCATCAATAACTAATAAAAATATTTAAAAAATTATGGAAAGAATGAAAGAGAATAATAGATATTGGCTGTTAGGGGAGGAAAAGAGAAAGAGTTGAAGGAAATGATAAGTGTGAGAAAAAATGTATAAAATAAAAATTAAATAGTAAAAAAATAGAGAAGTAAAAGATTACAAGAATAAAATCAATATATTCTAATCAAACCTCTTAGTCTTCAAAATATTATTCTGTGAGAAATAACTACTTTCAAGAAAATGCTAGAAATGAGAAACAATAAAGATATATGAATATGTCTAAGTGTCCAGTTGAAGATAGAGTTCTTTAAGAGGAAAGAAGAAGAGATGGGGTGGTAGATAAGGGTCTGTAGATTCAAGAAGTAAATAGAGCAAATGCAGAGGAGACAATGTTTCTATGAGGTGGGAGAACAAAAAACAGAAGTAAAAGAATTAAAGACAGAGTGAGAAAGAGCAATAGAATTTGGCTGTTGGCAAGAACAAATAGAAACAAAGGAAAACAGTTGTGAAGGATACATTAGAAAATCAATCCAAAATATAGTAATTAAAAAATCTTAACCTACGAAAAAATATCTGCTTTCAAGAAAAGCTAAAAATGAAAAAGCAGACACAAAAATGTATTAGTTCAAATGCATAAATGTTTATCATGTATCAATCAGTATACACTCAAAAATAATACAATAGAACAAAAACAAAATAACAGAATATCAATGAGAGTATTTACCTACTGTCTGTGCCAAACTGCCCTTCTGTTTCTCAGCTTCCCTTCATAGCAGGATGGGATGAAGAGCTGTGGAAGATGCTTTTGTCTTTACTTCCAGGGTATTGTTGCCGCTGTGTTCTGTGAGATGAATTTCTGCAAGTGAAGCTCCCAGGGGTGGGGATAAGGTCTGGTAAGCCCCAGGTGTTTTATGGTGTAGGGATATTGTGTGGGGAGTTTTCAGGTATTAGTGAATCAACCACTTCTAGGACTGTACCCCCTCTACTTTCTCCAGGGCACCACTCCTGGGAAGAGGGAGTCAGTATTTTGCAGATTCTGATGTTTAGAACAGTGTTCAGGGACACTGCCCTTGTTTGGTCTTTCAATGACTGTTTCCGATCACTGAGCTCAGTCACCCTGCCCGCCTGTTCATTTTCTCTCTGCCACTGGTCCTTTGGTGCTGTGAGGTTGAAGCGGGGAAAGGGAGGACAAGCTTTCTCAGGCCTTTCTAATCTGTATTACTCCCAGGTGAAATGGTCTTCGTGGCTGAAATTGTTTTTTTTTTTTTTTAATATTTACTTTTTTAGTTGTAGTTGGACACAATACCTTTATTCATTTATTTATTTTTATGTGGTGCTGAGGCTTGAACCCAGGGTCTTGCACGTGCGAGGCGAGCACTCTACCGCTGAGCCACAAGCCCAGCCCATGGCAGAAATTCTTAGTGCCAGAAATTCTTCTGCTTTGCTAGTCTCAGTTTACATCTTGCTGTTGGTGTCTGCCAGATTCAAGTGTTGGTTTCATCCCTGAACTCACGGATATAAGTTCCAGGTCGAGTTTGTGCCATTGTCTCATAGAGGTATTAAAATGCTTGGGCTCCCCATGCACTCTGGCAGATTGTGACTTTTGTGCTCTAGCTTAATGGGTCGAACAACCTCTGGAACGGCCCAGGGCAGGCTGCCCCACCAACCCTGGGATTTCCTACCCCAAGTTTTCCCCAGTTCTTTTTGATATTTTGTGACCTTCAGTATTAATTTTCCCCACTCCCACCTGGAGCTCAGGTCCACTTCTAACCTTAGCCTTGCCCGAAGTACTCCAAATTTCCAATGTTCAAGGCTTCTGTCCAATATTGCATATCATTGGAGTGCCCCCCCTACCTCCCACCTCAGAGAAGTAGTTTTCTCGCATCCGAGGCACTCAGCTGGGAGAAAAGCCACTTCCCCCTAATCTACCATCTTGTCTGTCTTGTAATCTTGTTTTTATAGAGAGCATTATTTTGTTTACTCTTTGCACTGTTCTCTCTGTTGTTTTTGTGGTTGTTTCCTCCTTGCCGTTGTGCCATCTTTTAGAACAAAATCTCATATGCGAAGCTTTGGGTTCTTGTTCTGCAGGCTTATTGGAAACTTCTCTGGAACCATTCTCTGAATCGGGGTGGTTTGATCCAAATCATTTTGTTTGGTTCCTTTGATCTTTGCCATTTGCACAGGTTTAACCTTGGGAAATGGTTACAACTTCTCTTTCCTTTTTTAACAGGCAGGAGAATTCTTTTCCAACCTCTGACTTCACACACAGAGGTCATGGCTTTTGTTCTCATTTCTGTTATGAGTTGATTTTAACCCCTACTGTTAGAATCAATGCCTTAGCTATAAGCAGTAAGATTTAAAAATAGACAAATTGCTTGTTTCTGTCTTTTTTTTTTTTTAACCTCTATAGATATAGGAGGTTATGGAACTGTGGAACTGCTGTGGTTTATTGGAAAGCATATTTGGTCCTAACTGGGTAATCTTAAGTCCCTGGATCCTTATTTTTAGGTGAGGATAATAAATTAGATAGAAGTCTTGAAGCCAAAATGTTATTTATGTGTAAATGGTTTATAAACTGAGAAGTATATTTATGTATTAGGTTATTTTTATTGTTGTATAATTGCAGTGGTTGTGTTACTAATGTAAGTCTGTTTTTGACTTTCAGGTTGTTCCATTGACTGATAATGTTTGGCAACAGTCATCTTATGAAGGTGATATTAGAAAACATATTTCTGATAGTAATGTAGCCTCGTCAGAAACAACAGTTCAGTGGGATTCTGGGGATGATCAGGTATGTCTGGGGACGAATTGGCAAACCATTTTTCTTTTGGTTAGTATACAAGAAATTCTGCTATGAAGAAGTGAGAAGAGGTAAGTTACTATTTCAGTTTTCTTTGTAAACTTTATATGGAATAGCAGTTTACTTTTGTTGTGGGGCAGGTCACTCAGAAAACACACCAAGTCCCAATTTTGCCCAAATTGAAGAGTGTATATTTAGCCGGCCAGCCAGCAACTGCTCCCTGCAGGAAGGACCCATTACTCTCTGCAAGGAACAGCCCCAAGACTGAGTGAGCATTTTAGGATATTTAAAGGCAAAAATTACATCTGGGTTGACGTAGCTGTAAGCAAGCAGGTACAGAAGCTGGATTGGGCAGTTTGTGAGACAATGCAAAGGGTACGTTGGTATTTCCTGCAGGACTTTCCAGGTTGGCATAGCAGCAAGCAAACAGACAAAATGACTCTAATTAAGTACAAGTTAGAGAATGGTTAATAACGTCTAGACAATCAATCTCTGACAAGGTACATTGCCCAAGAAAAATGGAAAGCAAAGAGAATAATTTTACATTGTATAAGAATTACTATTTTGTGTTGCCAAGTACACTATGCTAGGTAACTATTAATGGGTACCGAGGTGGGGCTTTCCCACGGAAGAAGCATTTTTTTACACGATATGGAGTCCCAGGGTAAAATGGACTCTGTTTGGTCATTGCCCATTTAGAATGGCCCATAACACTTTATTTTTTGTTCTTAGGACCCTTTGCAATCTCAAGTATTCAAAAGAGCATCTGTTTACATGGGTTATGTATATATTAGCATGAAATAAATTAAAAAAAAATTTAAAAAATATTTAGTTTAGAATTACAAAATGGGGGGGGGGCTGGGGCTATAGCTCAGTGGTAGAGTGCCTACCATGCACATGTGAGGCACTGAGTTTGATCCTCAGTACCACCAATAAAAAGAATTATAAAATAGGTTTATAATACTACCAAAAGTGTGTTTTAAAATGAAAAATGACTGTTTCCTCAAAAAGAAAGGGAGAATAGCATTGTTTAACATTTTTATAGATTTCTTTAATGTATGGTTTAATTGGAGACTCTTGGTGTATTAGGCTTCTTCAGAGAAATAGAAACAATAGGATAGTGATATATACACATACCACACACACAAATTGGCTTTATTTTAAGGAATTGGCTTTATGATTATGGAGGCTGGGAGAAGTCCCAACATCTGTAAGCTGAAGACCCAGAAAACAGTATATAGTTTCTGTCTTGAGTTCAAAGACCTGACAATCTTTAGGTAAGATTGTGTAAGTTCCAGTCTGAGTCTGAAGGCAGAAGACCAATGTTTCAGCTTGGAGATGCCAGAACTAATTCTCTTTTGACTTCCTTTTGTTCTTTTTGATCCTTTACACAATTAGATCAGGTCTACCAACATTGGGGAGGGCAAATGCTTTGTTTAGTCTTCTCATTTAAACACACCCAGAGTAATGTTTTACCAAATATCTGATTACTACCTGATTCACTCATTTTGATAAATAAAATTAACTATCATAATCATGTTTTTACATGTGCTTTTGCATTTAGTCAGTTGGGATATTTTGTTTTGGTTTAAGTATATGAAGGAAATCTGACCTGCCATATATGGTTAGAAAAGGGTGGCCATCATTGATTGCCGGGAAGCTTGTCGGTGACCACCAGGGATCCTCAGACCATGCTTTGAGAATGAGCTAGAACGTAGTCATAAACTTAGAAGAAATAGAAGAATCAAGAGCAGATGGGGGAAAGCTCATGTATCTTTGGAAGAAATTCAGCCTTAGTCATACGTTTAAATATTGAAGGTTGATTTTCTGGTAACTTGAGTATTGAGAATTCTTCCAGTATCTCCAACTTCTTCTAAATTGCAGTGGGTACCTATTAAATGTAAGATAGAAAAGGAGAGAGAGGAGTTAAGAGTAAGTCCTGATCAGACTACTCAGGGGCCATTAAATAAAAGGGAATTGTTATGGGTTAAATATTTTGTGTCCCTTTATTGCTGTGTTGAAATCATAATGCTCAGTACCTCAGAATATGACCTTTTAAGAAATAAGTTGATTGTAGATGTGCTTATTAAGTTAAGGGGCCACAACGGGGTAGGATAGCCCCTTCATCTAATATCCTGGGATCATTGTAAGAGAATGCCATGAGAACAAAAAAACACACAGGGAGAGGACAGCCATGTGAAGCTGGAGGCAGAGATTGTAGTTATGCTTCTAGAAGCCAAGGAATGCCAGGGCTTTGCAAATTAAAAAGGAATTCCCCTAGAAGGTTCAGAGAGGCAACACTGTGATTTCAGACTTTTGGCTTTGGAAACAAGAGTAAATTTTTGCTGTTTTAAGTCACCTATTTTTTCATTTTTTATGGTAGCCTTAGGAGACTAATACAGTTTATATTCCTAAATAGATTGATATTCCCTGAGAACATGTGTTTCAGTCTATTTTGTGTTACTGTAACAAAATACCTAAGGCTGTGCATTTTATAAACAAAACAAGGTTTATTTTCCATACAAAATTGTAGAGGTTCAAGAGCATGGTACTGACATATGCTTAGCTCTGGTTAGGGCCTTATGGTAGATGGCTTCACAGTTGTGGGAATGTGTACAGAAGAGATCAGATAGTCAGAAAGGCCAACAGAGGGTAGGAACCAGTCTTGCTCTCATAACAACTTGTCATGAGAACTATCTTTTTTTTTTTTTTAAGAATTTAAACTTTATTTTATTTATTGGTTTTTATGTGGTGCTGAGGATCAAACCCAGGGCCCCCTCTGCACTAGGCAAGTGCTCTATTTTTAATTTAATTTTCATGAGAAGAAACTCACTCTGTGATATTAGCTTTAATCTCTTCTGAGGACAAGTGTCTGTAATGATCTAATTACTTTGCATTAGGACCATCTTTTAAAGGTTCCTCTTAATACCACCACATTGGGGACCAAGCTTCTAACACCTGAACTCTTAGAGGACAAACCATGTCCAAACCATAGTAGCATGTTTATGGTAGAGCACGGTTTAAAAATTGATGCCTTTTTTTTTCTTGCTATAATTATACAAGCATGGAATATATCTTATTCTAAATCAGACCCCAGTACCTCTCTTTCCCCTTGCCTCAGAGGTACTGGGATCTCCCTTCCCTCTATTGATCATCTGCCATTTATCCATAGTGATTTTTTTAAAAAATTTTTTGTGGATGTACATAATGAGATTCACTGTGGTGTATTCATATATGTACATAGGAAAATTGTGTCAGGTTTGTTCCTTTTCTTATCCTCTTCATTCCGCTTTGTCTAATCTACTGAATATTGATTCTTCACCCCCATCCCCTCTGTTGTGTGTTAGCTTTCAAATATTAGCAAAAACATTTGACCTTTGGTTTTTGGGGACTGGCTTATTTTACTTAGCATATAGTCTCTAGATCCATCCATTTACTGGCAAATGTCATAAAGCCATTCTTCTTTATAGGTGAATAATACTCCATTGTGTGTATATATACCACATTTTCTTTATCCATTCATCTGTTGAAGGGCATCTAAGTTGGCTCTATTTGCTTAGCTATTCTGACTTGAGCTGCTTTAAATATCACTGTAGTATGCTAATTTTAAATATTTTGGATATTAACTGAGGAGTGGCATAGCTGGGTCAAATGGTGGTTCCATTCCTAGTTTCTTGAGGAATCTCCACATTACTTTCCAGAGTGGATGCACCTATTTGCAGTCCTACCAGCAATGTATGAATGTACCCTTTTTCTTGCAAACACTTATTGTTGCTTTTATTCTTAATAACTGCCATTCTGATTGGAGTGAGATGAAATCTCAGTGTAGTTTTAATTTGTATTTCTCTAATTGCTAGAGATGTTGAACATTTTTTCATATATTTGTTGACCATTTGTATTTCTTCTTTTGAGAAGTGTCTGTGTGGAGATATTCCCTTTTTTTATCACGGATTTTTAACAATTTGTGTTTTTTCTTTCATTTGGTTAACCTTGGTAAGGTACATAAAAACGAACTTTTTTTTTTGTCGGTTTTTTGAAATTTTTTTTAGATTAGAACTTCATTGACTTTGGCTCTGATTTTGATCATTTCCTGTCTTCTATTGATTTAGGTGTTAGTTTGTTCTTTTTATTCAAAGGCTTGGCGATGTAACATTAGATTGTTTATTTAGTATCTTTTTATTTTTTAGTGAATGCTGAAAGTTGTGTCCCTTCATTTTAGCACTGTGTTCATTGTGTCCTAGAGATTTTGATATGTTGTATCACTATTCTCATTTACCTTTGTGTTAATGTATTTTTTATTTTATCCCTGGTTTCTTCTGTTATCCATTGATCATTCAATAGTAAATTATTTAGTCTCCAGGTTTAATTTCTATTTTTTATTTTATGAATTTCTCATTTCATTCCATTTTGATCTGATAGAATGTAGGGTATTGTCTCTATATATTTTTTGTATTTCCTAAGAGTTTCTTTGTGGCCTGTTTTAGAAAATGTTCCATGTGCTACTGAGAAGAAAGTATATTCAGTCATTGATGGATTAAATATTCTATATATGTTGGTTAGGTCTAAATTATTAATTGTACTTTTTAGTTCTATAGCTTCTTTGTTTAGTTTTTAAAAAAATATTTATTTTTTAGTTGTAGTTGGACATAATACCTTTATTTATTTATTATTTATTTATTTATTTTTTATGTGGTGCTGAGGATGGAACCCAGGGCCTTGCATGTGCTAGGTGAGTGCTCTACTGCTGAGCCACAACCCCAGCCCCTTTGTTTAGTTTTTGTGTGGATGTTCTATCCAGTAATGAGAGAGGTATGTTAAAGTCACTCAATATTATTGCATTGTGGTCTTTTTAATTCTTGGCATTGAGAGGGGTTTTGATTATGTATGCTCCATTATTTGGGGGACAAATATTAACAATTGTTATTTCCTGTTGTTGAATGATTCCCTAACATAGTTTGAAGTGACTTTTTTTTTTGTCTCTTCTGATTAAC